GCAGGCTTTTATTGCAGTATAATGATGTATTTTTAACTGAAGCTGAATATTAAGTAGGGGGCGTGGTTTTATTTCAGTATGATGATGTATTAACTGAAGCTAAATATTGAGTAGGGGGCGTGGTTTATTTCAGTACGATGATGTATTTTTAACTGAAACTGAATATTGAGTAGGAGGTGGGGTTTCATTTCATGATGATGTATTAACTGAAGCTGAATATTGAGTAGGGGGCGGGGTTTAATTTCAGTATTATGATGTATTAACTGAAGCTGAATATTGAGTAGGGGCGGGGTTTCATTTCAGGATGATGTATTAACTGAAGCTGGATATTAAGTAGGGGGCAGGGTTTAATTTCAGTATGATGATGTATTTTTAACTGAAACTGAATTTTGAGTAGGAGGTGGGGTTTCATTTCATGATGATGTATTAACTGAAGCTGAATATTGAGTAGGGGGCGGGGTTTAATTTCAGTATTATGATGTATTAACTGAAGCTGAATATTGAGTAGGAGGTGGGGTTTCATTTCATGATGATGTATTAACTGATGCTGAATATTGAGTAGGGGGCGGGGTTTAATTTCAGTATTATGATGTATTAACTGAAGCTGAATATTGAGTAGGGGCGGGGTTTCATTTCAAGATGATGTATTAACTGAAGCTGGATATTAAGAAGGGGGCAGGGTTTAATTTCAGTACAATGATGTATTTTTAACTGAAACTGAATAATGAGTAGGAGGTGGGGTTTCATTTCAGGATGATGTATTAACTGAAGCTGGATATTGAGTAGGGGGCGGGGTTTAATTTCAGTATGATGATGTATTTTTAACTGAAACTTAATATTTAGTAGGAGGTGGGGTTTTATATAGGATGATGTATTAACTGAAGCTGGATATTGAGTAGGGGGCGGGGTTTAATTTCAGCATGATGAAGTATTAACTGAAGCTGAATATTGAGTACGGGGCGGGGTTTAATTTCAATATGAGGATGTATTAACTGAAGGTGAATATTGAGTAGGGGCGGGGTTTAATTTCAGTATGATGATGTATCAACTGAAGCTGAATATTGAGTAGGGGGCGGGGTTTAATTTCATTATGATGATGTATTAACTGAAGCTAAATATTGATTAGGGGCGGGGTTTATTTCATTATGATGACGTATTAACTGAAGCTGAATATTGAGTAGGGGGCGGGGTTTAATTTCAGTATGATGATGTATTAACTGAAGCTGAATATTGAGTATGGGGCGGGGTTTAATTTCAGTATGATGATGTATTTTTAACTGAAGCTGAACATTGATTAGGGGGCGGGGTTTAATTTGAGTATAATCATGTATTTTTGACTGAAGCTGAATATTGAGTAGGGGCGGAGTTTACTTTGAGTATAATCATGTATTTTTGGCCGAAGCTGAATATTAAGTAGGGGGCGTGGTTTAACTTCACTATGATGATGTATTTCTAACTGAAACAGAATATTGAGTAGGGGGCTTGGTTTTATTTCAGTTTAAGGATGAATTTCCAAGTAAAAACCTGAATATTGAGTAAGGGGTGGGTTTGTTCAGTATGGTGAAGTATTGCCAACTGAAGCTGACTATTGAGTATGGGGCGGGGTTTTATTTCAGGATGACTGTGAATTTCATACTAAAACTGAACTTTGAAAAGGGGGCGGGGTTTATTTTCTATTTTCACATGATGACATATTTTCAACTGAAACTGAATATTGAGTAGGGGGCGGGGTTTTGTATTTGTGCTCCTTTACTCATTTTGCAGTCTCAGCAATCTAATAGTTAGAGGGGCGTGGCCAAGCAAATTTTGCCCAATCAGTCAAACTGCTTGATGGACTGCTGTTTCACAGTGGAACCAGATGGGCAGATTTTGATTAAAGACTACCAAAACAAGCTGCTATTTTTAATTGATTAATTTGCACAGATTAATTGTTCACCTTAAAACTAACAATGTGGCTTTAATAAATGCTGTTTAAATCTTTTCTGAGAAAATCATTCTTTACCTTTCTTAGATATATTGTCCATCTCCTCATTGAAGAACTGCTGCAGCTTGTTTCTAAGTTGAGAGATGGATTTCATCACTTCATTAAAAGAGGGACAAGAACTGACAGTGACGTTGTCTGAAGATCCAGAGACAGACACAGACGGACAACTCTGCAGACACAAACACAAACCATTTAAGGCATAGTTCATCCAAAACTATAATTTTCTCAGTATTTACTCACACTCAAGTCATTCTAAACTTTTTATAAATTACTAACTGATGCTGATCCAAAAGAAAATATACCACATTAAAAGAAAAAAAAAAAACGTAAAACTTTTGAAGGGGGTGAAAACTTTTGCACAGCATAAATTTTTCCTTATTTTTTATTGTGGCATATACATTTATAATATTATCTATACATCTATATCTAAAATAAATTAAAAAACAATCATCCTTTTCAAAAGGTATACCCCCCCCCTGTTTTTAAGGCATCATGTTTTGTGCAGTGCTTAAAGGGACAGTTCACCCAAAAATGAACATTTTCTCTAGTGCTAACTTTTAAGAATTTCTTTCTTCTCTTAAAGACAAGATATTTTGAAGAATGCTGTAAAAAGTAACCATTGACATTCATAGTAGGAACAAAACATACTATAGAATCAATGGCACCTTTCTTCAGTTTATCTTCCTTTATGTTCAACAGAAACACATCAATGATGTCAGAATGTTCATTTTTAAGTGAACTGTCCCTTTAAAGCCACCAATCCTGCACATTCAAGGAGCTCTGCATCACCTTGAGGAAGTTAATATGATCTTTTGTCTCCACAATCTTCTTCAGCTCTGAATCCTTGAACCTCAGATTATCGAGCTCCAGCTCCAGTCGCGCCACGTGCTCTTCAGCTCGACTCCTCGCGGCTTTAACCTGTTCTCTGATCATCTTCGTCACCTCAGAGCGACGTTTCTCAATATCACGAATGAGTTCGGCGAAGACCCTCTCGCTGTCCTCCACTGTCATCTGCGCAGAGTGCTGGACAAGACACACAATACAGACAATACTTAATCAACCTCACACAGCCACATACACCCAGTGATATTATAATGAAGCTTCTTAAAGGGATAGTTCACCCAAAACTGAAAATTCAGGTATCATTTACCATTCACTGAGTTTCTGCAAAAGAAGATATTTAGAAAATTGTTGAATACTTGTAATCATTGTCTACCATAGTCTATGGAAGTCAATAGTTAGCAGTTTCTAACATTCTTCAATATATCTTCAGAAGAGAGAAACCCTTAAATGTTTGGAAGCACTTGCAGGTGAGTATATGGTCAATAAATGTTCATTTTTGGGTGAACTACCCCTTTAAATCAGGGGTGGTCAAACTTCCTCATATGAAGAGCCAAACACCAAACTTGATTGAGGGCCGTGGGCCTAAGGTAAATATATCAAGCTGAATTACAAAGTTGCCATGGATAATTCCTTCATTTATTTAAAAATAAATAGAAAACATTACTTCAATCATATTAACTGATGGCAGCATGGTGGCGCAGTGGGTAGCACAATCGCCTCACAGCAAGAAGGTCGCTGGTTCGAGCCCCGGATAGGTCAGCTGGCATTTCTGTGTGGAGTTTGCATGTTCTCCCTGTGTTTGTGTGGGTTTCCTCCAGGAGCTCCGGTTTCCCCCACAGTTAAAAGACATACGCTATTGGGGAATTGGGTAGGCTAAATTGGCCATGGTGTATGGAAGTGTGTGCAATAGTGTGTGCACACACATTCACACACACACTCATACACTACGGACAATTTAGCCTACCCAATTCACCTGTACCACATGTCTTTGGACTGTGGGGGAAACCGGAGTACCCGGAGGAAACCCACACAAACACAGGGAGAACATGCAAACTCCACACAGAAACGCCAACTGA